GCTTGCAGAGATTTCCCCGCAGCACTTCGGGACTGCACTCGATGCTCTCCCCAAACCAGAACTCATCGATGTGCAGCCCCTGAACACACCCTGAGCCTCTGCTGTGTCAGAGGGACTTGAAGGAGAAATAAAGGAATGAGAAACCTGGTATGAAATATATGAGTTAGAAATAAATGTTTAGAAGAGCAGATAATTTCCCCTTGTAAACCCAGCCTTGTTAAAGCACATGGGACACGACTGAAAAGGTACTGACGGCTCTTTAGGCTTGCTGTGCTCCAGGCTATTTCACTGTGTCGAACGTTTCAAATGCAGAAATTCCTCATCTCCACCCATGAGCCTTTGTTGTGCTGTTCTCCCTGTCCAGCTGCAGAGGGCAGGGCTGGAGTGGCTTTGGTGGCCCCTGGGGTCCCGTCAGGGCCAGCCCAGCACAGTCTGGGGCAGCCGCCCCATGGGGACCCCAATGGACACAATGCCCGGGGAGCACCAGGGGATGTTCCCTGCTCTGGACCCCTAGAACCGATGCCCGCTGTTTCCAGGCTCAGCCATGGCATGTGACAAAGTGACTGCAGTGTTTTCCTCCAGCACTGCTCAGGGTCATGGGGCCATTGCTCATTTAGGGAAACCTGTGCTCATACGTGTGGAGAAATAGCTGAAGTCACTTCTGGAGAAGAAGAACATGAATTAATAAATGACACCAGTGCTTGCTTTCTCACTCTGCTTTACAAATGAGCTGGGTTTGCCCTTAAGCATTAATAAGATCATACATGGGGGTGTGAATTGCTCATTAAACCAGAACTGCATCAGTGCCATGAAGTTCACGTCTGCTTTAAGATCCAAATCTGGAAGCACGAGTTTGTATCCAGGGACCCAAGAGTGGTCACAGTTGCAAAACTCACTTTGATACAGAATGGTCACAAGAGCAGTTAGAGGAGCAGAAAACTTCAGCTTCCAGGAAATGAAGAAATACTTCTGAGGTTACATTTTCCATATTGCCCTCACAACAACGGCTCCATTCCTACTGGAGTCCTGTGACATGGAAACAGAAGCACCAGGTTCCATGTCTAGAGTCCCCTGGCAGCTTTAATGCCCAGTGTGGATAACCCACCCTGGAAGCACAAATTGAACAGGGCTGGTGCCTTTCCAGGAGATGAACTTGCAGGAGCTGTGCTGAGCTTCTCCTGGGCACTGGGACTGGCACTGATCCACACCAGGAGAACACACCAGCACTCTCTGTGTGCTCAGGGAATTCCCTGCAGAGCCACTCACTGCTCCTGGATCAGCTCCATGGGCCTGAGTTACCAGGGAATTGTTTCCATCTTCAGCTGTCCCAGTCAATTTTCTGTTCACTGGAAAAATATCAAGAAGCTGTTGCACATAACACACATTGTACATGGGAATTGTGTGGGCAGGAGCATCCTCACAGAATTCCTACATTTTCAGTAAACTGAAGGTGTGAATCTCTGACCATTGCAGGTTTGCATCATGAT